AGATTGGTGGGTCATGTCCCCTTGTCCAGGTTGCTTGGACCATCTTGAACCTCCAGATGGCACCTGTTCAAAAAGCAACAAAACATACGTGCAACTCGCGAGATCGCGCGAGAGACGCGCCACCGAAGTGAAACTGGGACTGTCCGGGGTAGCTGGGGGAATCTTTAGGGAAAGAACGTTAGAACTAGGATGCAGACGAATCCCTTACACCCACCATCCTTGGCTGCAAGCCCCTGCCCTACTTGTTTGGTGTGAATTTGGATGCACCAACCTCAGAAACGGCTCCCATGACGGAGCTCATGACCAGGTCCCTCGCGCCTCTCACAGGAGTTGGCCGTCATGGCCTGCGAGACGACGGCACGCACCGGTGGAATCGTGGCACCAATGTGTGGGATGCTCTCTACGAAGGTCTCCTGCCCCCTCTTTGTGGCTGGGCAGAGGGCGGTTGGGACGACGGAATCTCTTATCCGGCACAATGGGACAATCCGGATCGGGGGATCTTTCCCTGATCATCCTGATCGCGCGCACACACACACATGGAACGTGGCATGGTTTATATCAATAGACCAGTAAGATGATGCAGCAACAGTGCAAACAAGCATGCACCTTCTTTCTGTATCAAATTGCCTTTGCATCACACGGTGGCTGCATTTTAGGTGCTATAAACCTAGAGACAGCCTCCCTTGACCCCTGTTTCTTATATCCCACTCGCTCAACAAACAATTAAGATCGAGTCAGGGTCATGGTGTTTTTGCTGCCAGGCCATTCCAGCCAACCTGCCCCCGTTGTTATCTTCCACGCCTTCTGCAGCCCGCGGCTTGCCCAGCCCAGGCTGCCACATGTGTTGCTGCGACGTGCTCAACCCTGACTTTGCCAGAGCGACGACCGAAGCGCTCTCAGTAGCTACGTCATACGTCCGTGTAGTCCAGTTCGCTGCCGAGCAGACTCGTGCGGAGGCGCAGGGATGCTCGGAGTGATTCTCAATCTTTTGATTCCTGAAGTTGGCTGCGCCTTCTCGATGTTTGTTGAGGGTGTCATTCTTGATTCGTACTTGATTCGTTGAACTGAGATTGTACACCCGCCTGTAAGGCATTCAGCAAAAGTGCCGGTTTGGAGCCTCCTGAAAGGACTGTAGCCAGGTCTCATCTTGTTCCTGGTGATGTAGTTAGGCTTAAGAGGTGACGGAGAACATGCAGTGCTTGGCATGCGGAAGCTTGACGAATAACGATTCTAGGAGTTGCCTATTGATGTGAAGACCGGATTCACATACACCCCCCCACGGGGAACGTCAACAAGGTCAAACAGGTCTGAGGTACTGTACCATTGATGAGTTCGAGTAGATCTAGAAGTAGGAGCAGGAGGAGGAGTAGTAGTAGTGTAGTAGTAGGAGGAGGAGTAGTAGTAGGAGTAGTAGTAGCAGCAGCAGCAGTAGTAGTAGAAGTAGTAGTAGTGGTAAAATTGACCTGGTTGCGGGGCTCGGATCAACTGGGGGCGTTCTAGCACCCAGCAGCCTTATTCAGGGAGAATTTGCCACCAATAATAGTCTTAATTGGGTCCGGAGCTTTGTGGGCTCGGATTAACTAGGAGGGGTTTATGAATCTTATCTATAGTACATCATGTTGGGATTTCATGGTCCCTCGCTGAAGATTGAGAGTCGTTCACAATGGACTGCCATGCCAGACAGGCGGCGCTGCCACAACCTAAGCAGCCTAAACATGCCGAAATTGTTTTATTCCCTGTTTTGCTGAGGGGGCGACCAGGCTGTGTTTAGGGCCCATTGCTGACCCGCACGCAAGGGTGTATATTGGATTGTGCGAGCGATATAGTGCAAGGATCAGCCATCACTGGAAAACCACATGTTCGAGATCTGATGCATTCAGACGAACACGATTTAGTTGCTGATGCCGATCCTTCAATCAACCAAGTGACCATTCGCGTGAGCTTTTTCCGTCTCAGCCACACAGGGGGGGCTGCGCATGCTGAAACCACCATCTGAGTGAGCTGCTACCTGGCCCTCGAGTTGCATCTTCTTGGCAGCTTGACGCCCAGAATTGCCAGGCCCCCCTGGTCACCAATGTTCATCGAATCCACCACCTGCTTGGGGTGGCTCCTCGATGGAAGGCACTTCGACGGCTCTCAAAGTGTACTCATTGTTTTCATGGAGTGAGGTTTTCCAGCTATATCATTTCATGGAAGACGCAGGATCTGTGCAATTTTTGGTTTGTTTTGACCACCAAAAGCGTCCCCAGTGCCCATAGAGACATGTTTTCTGTTCGTGTTTTTGTCCGTCTCTCGGAAACCGGACGGTCTGTGGTCCGCTTCAAAGCCCCTCACGATCCGAACGAGACAATCCGTTCAAATGAGCTCTCCCCCCACCAAAACCTCCCTGAAAATCAACCGGGCCAGCTCATCAGAATGTAGACTCTTGATATCTCTTAATACGTTAATAAACGTGGCTCTCCAACCCGCTTCGGGGTCAGTGGAGAAGTGTGTGACAGCGAAAGGAATGGAACGTTTAAAGTCATTGGTGATAAGTATAGAATTTTTGGGAGGCGGGACAGCTGGATCTGTTTTTTGGATGCTTCACACAGCCGTATGGAGTTAAGTTTCCCCAAAATCTAGGAACCGAATGAATAGTGCTGCTAGCGGACTAGTAAGGTACTAGCTATACCTCTCAATTCAGTAGGTATACTATGGTCCTGGACTCTCTACTTAATTAAGTAGGGACGGGGGAGGGAGCGGGATGGGAGGGAGGGAACCTCTAGATTTCGTGCATGTGGCGGTGGCCGATCCGCTGAACTCAGATCATCCAGCCACATAACCCATGCCATGTGTTTGTAGTGAAAGAAGAAGGCTTGGAACTGGAAGGCGACTGAAAACTATCAAGAACAAGTCTGGTGATGAGGATAAACGTTTTCTTGTGTTGACTTGATGTTTTGGACTGGACGTTCGGCCCAGGATCTATAGATGCCTTCCTTCGATGCTTTTGAATTCCTTTTTGCTGACACAAGACAGCCAATTCGACTAACCTGGAGCTGCTGCTTGGAGAGGCAGTTTGCTGCTTTTTGTCCAAGCAGCCACCAATGGGTACCAGATTGGAGGCTGGAGAAATCACGCCGCCGGTGTCACAGCTCCGCTGGGTCCCAGATTGGCAGTCTGGATCCGCTGCTTTACGCATCGACAGCGATGCAGCGAAAGGCAGTGAGAGAAAGGGTGCTGGGAGAGGCAGTCTGGAGGACCATCCACCAACCCAATGGGTCCTCAGGAAGGACCATCAGAAAGGGTAGTGGGCGTCTCAGACCATTCAACAACCCTCAGGGAGGACCCTCCAGACATCTTCAGACGCCGTTGGGATCGCTCGGCCGCTGCCCGGAAATGAAACCGGACGTGCAATGTCCCACGGTTGATTTGGGGATATTTGGGGGCATTTGTGGTTCAAACGAGGAAACGGCTCGACCAATTTGGCACAGATATGTGATGTTTCCCCATGACGGTGGAAGCTATATACAACCCCAGAATAAGAATGACACCATTCAGAAGAAGACACAAGAAGAATCAAGAAAATCACTCTGGTGATACCTTTGCACAAGCTTTATACTCTCCCCCAACAATCATGGAAGTGGAACACCCCCTGTTAGAGGAACGCAGTCCGAAACAGCTTCCAAGTGGCCATGTGCCACTTCCAGTGACAGTGTTACATGGAGGGTGGTTGGTTTCGTTGGAACAGCTGTGCTTGACTCGGGCGGCGGATATGGTGGCCGGAGGGGGTCCATTGGTCCATCGGTTTTCCCCGTTTTCGGTGCCAGGAACATATCCCCTTCAGCTTCCAAATCGATCCAGCGAGCTTCCAAGAGGAGGGCGGACTTCAGGCGAATGGAACGGTTTCGATCGGTCAGCGAACGGAGCGAGCTTTTCGTTCCGTTCGTTTTCGGTGTCGGTTCAAGCTGTTCGATCGGATTGGCACGAATGGTCGGAAAGGTGCTCAAGGGAAGTGAAGGCTGAGGCATGTCACATGTCATCCAAATTGGGCCACGGTTCTCGCTTTGGTTCAGTGGGCTGGCGAAATACATGTCCTTCACATCCGAGATCGCTCTGGACATGGACATAGGCAATGCTCACGAGAGTCGGAGCGGTGCATGCCCCATGTTCATTCCACATAAAGGAATGTTCGATCAAGCTGCACCCTGCACCCAGCTTTCACTTCATCTCTCCTTCGTCCCCAGAAGCCAACGAGGTGTCCGACTACGCCCAGGTCATGTCACCCTGAGATCCAGTTGCGACCAAATTAACAGATGTCGAAAGACCAGGTCGAGACGTTTTGCCCGCTTCATCCACGATAAACAGCTTGGGACTGATCCTTACAGGCAAGTATCTCGGTCTCCACATTGTCATGCTGCTTGCTCCTCCCACAAACAGCCCATCAGTATCCATCAGCAAATATCAGTGGAATATCAACGCACAAGTGATCGTTCAAGCCTTCAACATCGTTCAAACTGTCATTCCTTCATGTTTGTTCCAGCCACACTCACAGTTGACAAAAGTGAGTTCACCGTGTCTACCTGGAGGGTGATGAAGATCCACAACACCTTTGGCCCATTTTGTTGTACTTTGCTTGTCTCCCAGAACATCTCTGTTGCGGGGCTGCTGTTTGCAGAATGATCGGCTCTAGCCGAGAGTCAGAACCACAGCTCCAGACGCCTTTTGGGTCAGCCATCCCTGGAAGAGGGCTGGCTGTTGTAGAGATTTTTGCATGACTGAGAGGGAGACGATGTCCGACCCTTTCACTTTCCCGGTCCTCAAAAAAGACCCCAACAAAGGAGGCCTTAACTTGGAACAGGAAGCCCCTCTAATCATCCCTGATCAAATCGGTTCCATGGTCTCCCATCCGTTCCGGCATGACGTTAGGAATGCATGAAGCGTCTCGTTACGATCGGCGTCTCAATAATGATCCGCGCGGGGTGCGCGCCTTCGCGATCGGCCAGGCCTTGTCCATCTCCCCCATGAGCGGCGTGATCGGCCCCGACTCTTCGGTCACCGTCCACGTGAACTTCAAACCGCTGGAGGCGTCGTCCGGGACGTCGTTCGGGGATGCGCCCAGCACGTTGGTGTCGCTAAGAAAGGGTAAGGTTTTTGGGGAACTGGGAAAGCAAACTGGCTTCAGTCTGACTGGAAGCCATTGGTGGTAGTATTATAGCTGGATCCACTGCTATGCGGAAGGATAATTAGGTGAAGTTATAGGTGGAGATTGGAGACGAAAACAATGAAAGGGTTTTTGAAGCAAGTGCTTTTCACACCTCCAAAATGCAGCAGCGCCAGAAGGGAGCGCGACCAAAGAGATTTACCAGTCAGGCGGTTAGATTTTTGATCTGCTAGTTGGTGGATTTATCTTTTTCCTTTTGATTGTTTCCACTGATTTGCTCCGCCGGCCGATTCGTTTTGGATTCAAATCCATTTGTATTTGTGCACCAGAAAGCACAAGTTGACAACCAAGCGCCCTGCGGGGCCGGAGCGTGCACGGCAGCCAGACGCTTAATTCTGAACTCTGGTCTGGGCTTGGTTGGCGAGAAAAAAAGACCGTGTTTTCGTGCTTGTGCTTGCACCACACTTCGTGCTTGTCTTGTCTGTCTACACGAGCCTTTTCCGGGTGAGGTTTTCCCCTCCACTAACGGTGGGCTTGGTATGCCCCGTTCGAGGACCAGTTCTCGAATGTAGGATCATCCGATAGTGAAGTTCTGTGAAGAGTCTGTGAAACGTGAAGCGGTTCATGAGTTGGACGTGGTCATGGCCTGTTTTGACGCTTGCGAGTTGAGCAGACTTGAATATGTTGCAACGTGGTCCTTCGCATGTCGGCATGGGTGCTGGTAGCCTTGCAGGGTGGCTTTCTCAGCATCTTCTCTTGTGTGTTGGAGAAGCCTTGTGTCGTCGTAGGCCACCGCAGTCGCTATGGCTTGTTCTACATGCTTGTTGGTGCATCTGCGCGAGCTGGTTGTTTCCTGCTGATGGCAGATGGCGGAGAAGCAGCGCTGCGGTTGAGCCGCTTTGGGCTGCTTGCTCTTGCGGTCGCAGTTTGTTGTGGTTGTCTGGGCAAAGTTTCCGGCGCTGGCCCAACAGAGCTTTGTTGTTGCTGGCGCCACAGCCGCTGGGCACTTTGCCGACACGAGCGGCCCCGGCATTGGAAACCACAACATGTCAGGGCTGCAGTTGATGAATTGATTTTCTATGATTTTCTTGCAGTTGCTTGCAGTTCGAGTGCGCCCTGGTTATGATTCGTTGTTTGGGTCCCATGGTCAGTGCTTGCATGCATTGTATTGCTGGGCCTCCCCTTTGTCTTATTACGTCGGAATTGCAAGAGCGTCGCGTATTAGACAGCGGCATGGCACCGGCATTGCTGCCCGATGGTTGGAACACATGGTTGCTTTGATTCGCCCTCACGGGCCTGAAAGTGGCCGATGGGAGGTACAAGGTAATGCGGCGTGTTCGACGGGAAGAAGCTTTCTTTTTTGTTTATCAGAGCAATGGAAACTTTGGAAATCTCCAGTCGGCGTCCTAATGCAAATGTTGGGGCGAAGCGCCAAAGCCGGTTATTATGTTCCTTGCATGTGCCTGCTAGCCGGACCAGGCCACCTAAGCATGTGCAGATGAAGTCGCATGCCGGGCCTCCGTGTGGCCCTTTTGATTCAGTTGTCGCCACCCGTGCCCTGCGTGTCGCTGAGCAGCGGGCTGTGTCTCCGTGCTCGCAGTCTGCTCCTGTTGTCAATGGTTTTGGTCCCATGTGCAGAATGGAACAACAGCGGCTTCTGGCATATTCAGGGCTCATGGGCCCCATTGACATCTGCGTAACTTCTATGATTCCCTTATTTTTGGCATGGTGTTGCTCCAAGCGGGTTGAAATCCCTTGGTCGCATGTGGAGAAAAAGTGGCATGTTGGTTGCGCTCCGGCTTTTTGTCGAAGTACTTGATGCATGTGGCTGGTAAAGGCAGAAAGGCTACTCTGACCCGTCGCATCAATGCGCAACTTCGGGAAAAAGGCCTGCCGGCCATTTGTGGCTTGACTTGCCGCGTGCCTCGTTTGTCCATGTTTCCGACTGTCCGCGCCGCCCTTCGAAAAGACATCCTTGCCAACGAAAGGTGGAACAACGACGAAAAATTGTGGGTTCTTAGCCGTGTAAAGATTGTTGCGTGCAAGATGCAAAAGCACAAGGATGTATGGAATGCTGTCCGTGCAAGCAAGTGCGTTCGTGAAAATGATTTTCAAGTCCATTCCGAACACTTTGATATGTCACATTGTCAGGACATGCGTTGCGTTGATAAGATCTGGGATATTCCTGTGAGACCTTCCTTGGACGAAGACTTGCGCTTGGCTTCCGCTTGTGTTTCAAACTTTGGCGTGTCCCTCGGACTCGGTCATGGTGCGTGTGCAGTTGCTGTTTCCTTCGTCAAGGATCGTCTGCCATTTTCTGCCTCTTTCCGTTCCGAGCGAGGCATGTTCAGGAGGACAGCTGCCACCTATGAAGAGTATACTGAGGACATGTGTTGTGGCCTACGGGTTACGGTTGTGCCCGACGACAAGCGAAAAAAGTTCATGTGGAAGGTCCCCACGGACGTGTGCCAATGGTTGTTCACTTCGCTACTGTTTCGTCTACGTGGCAGCACGCCGGTTTCTCTGTCAGAGAGGCTGACGCCTGGTGTCGCCAGTGCTTGGATACAGTATTTTGCTGACCCCGTCCCTCAAAAAGCTTTTGGGCTTCCGCTTCTTTGCCAAAGTGCCTGTTGTCCCCTATTTCTATGGTACTGTTAAGGCTAAGTGTTTTGGGCCTTCAGGACATTCCTGCAAGAGAAAAGGCCATAGTTGTTTGAGAAAAGTGGTGTCTTTCGCCGCCTGGCCGCTGAGAAGGCAATGGCGCTTTATCCATCGCGCCTTCGAAGCTGTTCTTAAGTTCACAGGTATGGGTGGCGAAGTCTGGTCCTTAAAAGAAGCCTGCAAGGTGTTTGAGGACAGGTTGCCGCCAGTGGTTGACCGTGCGTGTGACACTTGTGATAGGTGCGGGGTTAGAAAACCTGTTTTGGTCGCTCTGACTGCTGACCCCGGCCAGTTCTTTGAAGTGGTCAAACCACCGCAGGCGATTGGTGCCGCCAAGCAAGTGCTTGACAAGTGCTCACGCATGGCTGGTAAGTGCACCGTTACTGTCCTGCGCGGTAAGACCCGTGCTGCTTTTGTCGGTGGTTCTCTTGAAGCATGTAGAAACGACAGGCGTGTTTTCTCTTTTGCCGAGTTGTTCCTTGCCTTCTCCGCCTGCCTCTTCATGTCATTTTGCACACTTGGCGATCTGGTTTACCGCATGACAGGGCTTCCTATCGGTGGGGTTTTGTCAAAGGTTGCGTCAAGCATGGCCTTGGCCTCTGAGGAACATTCATGGTTTTTGGATATTCACCGCCGTAGGAAGCATGGTTTTAGTCGCGTTGTCCCTGCTTGGGATTTTGAAGTGGCTAGAGCCAGATATGTGGACGACATTCTCTGGGTTTCTGGGCGTTACTGTTTCACGCAGCTCTGGAGTAATTGGAGAAGGTCTTTGTCTGACCGGTGGACTTGCATGCGTCTTGCTGTGACGCTCGTTTATACTGTCCCTTTTGAAGTTGAGGCCTATTCACCAAAGGCTGCTTGGTTGGATCTTGAGTTGCGTTTGCCTACGTTGACTTGGAGCATGAAACCTACTTTGTGGACACTCCCTCCTCTTGGGGTGCTCCCGAAGGTTACGCGCATAGCTTTATTTGCGGCCGGCTGGCACGCTGGCAAGAGGTTCGTCTGAGTGACAAAGCATGGATTGAAGCGGCTGCTAATCTCCTTGTCAGCTTTCGTGACGTCGGCTGGCCTAAGGCTGTCATGAGGGCTGCCATCTATAAGGCTGTAAAAGTTTCCAGGCATCGCAGGACATGTTGCTAAAAGTGCTTCATGCCTCTTTCAACTAGTTGCTTGGGTTCTCGCTTTTGGTTGGCCCAGCCAGTTGTTGAGCCGTTTGGTTGCTTTGCGGTTCTCTGGCTCCAGTGTCGGCGGTTCTGGTTGTTGCCAAGTGCTTGTAGTGCCCTGCCCGTAGTTCAGCTTCCTGTGGGGCAATGGCTGGCATGGTGCGGCTGCTGGTGCTTTTGCTGTGCCTGGGTACTCATTGCCTGGGTGGCAAACCTACGCAGTGGGGCAATGGTCACAGCGGCGGAAAAGGCAGCAGTGCTTCTGGGGCATTGGAACCAACGCCAGGAGTCTTGGGGCAGCCGTGGCTATGGCGACCGTGAGCTGGTTGTCAGGGTCGAAACCGGTGACCGTTCCAAAAGCAAGAAGAGAAACGCCAAAAGTCCAGTTCTTCCGAGTCTTCTGACTCTACTTCGTCCTCTTCCGTTCCGACCAGAAAAAAGCAGAAGAAGTCCAGGAGAGACAAAAAGAGAGAAGCTAAGAGTACTGCGTCGCCTTCTTTGACTGCTGCCGTTCGTGAAGAATTGCGGGCGTTTAGGCGCCAGGCTGAGGTTGACAAGATCCGTGCTGAAGTCCAAGCTAGCACGGCTGGATCTAGCCGTGGTGATGGTTCTGGGGGGCAGGGGCCTGGCAAAGGTCCCCTTACCCCCTAAGACCAAAAAGTTGATTCAGGCCCAAGCTCATGTGCTCGGCAAGGATGGGGGAATCCGGCCGTTGGTTCACGGCGATGTCAGCGCTTGGGAGCAAGTGGAAGAGCAATTGGCAGAGAGCCCAGCCCCGGTAGTCAAGCCGCTCTTGCAACAGATGTGTCCAGACAGCACGGTTCCACGTCTCAAGCAAGACGTTGTCAAGCTGCTTCTGGCCGAGTTGCAATGCAAAGGGGGCGCTGCTGCATTTGATACAGTCTCCAGCAGGGCTCGGTGTGGTCTTGCGCGCTACTTGCTTGTTTGGGGTTGCGGTTGGGTCCTGAATTATGCTGGTATCCCAACCTCCCTCAACTGCGGCCTGGTTACCAACGGCATCTAACTAGGCATTCGCCCTGAAAACTTTGGCTTGGGACGAAAGACAGCTGAGTGGGTTCATTGAATCAGCTACCAGCATCCCTAGCCTCACAGTTTCAGGGGCTGCAGGTGCTTGGATCATCCGGTGGGCCTTTGGCTCGGAGACGAAAACAATGAAAGGGTTTTTGAAGCAAGTGCTTTTCACACCTCCAAAATGCAGCAGGGCCAGAAGCGAGCGGACCAAAGAGATTTACCAGTCAGGCGGATAGATTTTTGATCTGCTAGTTGGTGGATTTATCTTTTTCCGTTTGATTGTTTCCACTGATTTGCTCCGCCGGCCGATTGGTTTTGGATTCAAATCCATTTGTATTTGTGCACCAGAAAGCACAAGTTGACAACCAAGCGCCCTGCGGGGCCGGAACGTGCACGGCAGCCAGACGCTTAATTCTGAACTCTGGTCTGGGCTTGGTTGGCGAGAAAAAAAGACTGTGTTTTCGTGCTTGTGCTTGCAGCCGTTGTAGCCACACTTCGTGCTTGTCTTGTCTGTCTGGAGATTGGAGGTCGAAGGTGGGCATCATCCATATTTCAACCCATTCAGAAGGGTTACTTGAGGACACCACAACACGACCAAGCTAAGGCAAAGGAATAGCACAAACAAATACAAGCAAGTTCATACAACTTACTAGAAAAAACTGCGAAGCAAACTGAAATCAGTTTGACATACACCATGGCGCCACACTTCACTTTGAGGCAGTTTTAATATTTGAGCCTCCAGGATGTTCGTAGAATAGTATGTAAGCAGTTGCAAAGCTTATATTCCTATACCTGTGTTATAAGTCCGGCACCGCGACGGGATTTGCAGGAGTTCAATCAACTGTTAGATTCTAAGTTAGAAGTTGCAGTACTATTGCAGTATGTTGATGTATGTTCAGGTGTTTCGGGGCTTCCAGTGACAGCCATTGGTGAGCTAGTGTGTGAACTAGGCTCAGTTTTTTTCTAAAAACATGTTTCTCATGCATTCTCTCGAAGCAGCAAGCGTGGCAAAGCCCACGACCCTCCCCAAATGGGTGGTTTGACATGGTACGATGACCAGGCTGACACCTGAATGGAGTCCAGAGTCTTGTTCCACCTGAGTTCGAGTCCGTTGAAGGAGGTGTAGGCCAAAAAGATCAGTGAGTTAGAAGCCTTGCAATCCATGTATCGAATATGTTCCATTCCAATGCTGGCAAATATGTCCATTGAGAGATTGCGACTGTTCGGGACTGTGGAACTGTGCTAAGTTGTTGGATGTGACTTCCCGACGACTGTTGATTCTCATCCCGGATCCACTGGAGACGACGTGCACGTGGAACACCATGAAGGGACGGGACGACCCACACGTCCGAAGAAACGAATCACACCGAGGATACTGACTATACCGACGAATGTCATCGAATTTCAACAGGTTGGTGTGGTTGGTGTGGGTTGGAACCCTTTATAATCACACCTTCTTGAACGGTGTGTTTCACATCGAGTTTTTTTGCATGAGTGTCTCGTCGCAGGAGAGGCCCTTCAATATCAATGTTCGGGCAGCTCAGTGAAGGGTCCTGTGATATGGAGAGGCTTCCGCCATGAGACTTGTGTTTCCACATGCAAGTTTCACTGAGAAAGGTTGAGTGGAACATTTTAAGGGATCACACATGAAAGGAACCAATGGAGATTCTTTTCTGGTCACGTTCAAAAGTGATCTGTCTTCGGGTCTCCCTATATTTTTTGTAATGTCAATCAATGCGGCCTACCAACTTGGACAATCGACCCATGTGACTGTCTTCCGGTGGGATTTGATGGGCGAAGTCAGAAGGCTGATCAGTAGGACAGCTTTGGACAGAGGCAATGGGACTGCTCTGAGTGACGATATTTCTGACGTTCTCCAGCAGCTGATCGATCTCTAGGTGTTTCACAATCCGAGTGAACCGGAAGTCATCACGCCAAGGAGACAGAATATTTGTATGCCTTTGCAAGTACTTTGCGGCCTGCTCAGGTGGCATGCAACATCAAGCGCAAGAAGGCAGTGGCTTCAACTTGGCAAATCCACAGTGGAGTGGATCCAATAGTAGACAGCCATTTTGTTCTCAAAAAGACAACACCTGGGTGGCCAATCTTGTACTGGTATGAATCCTCACTTGCTTTTCCTATTCTGTGCTTCACCGTTGTTTTCTCCTTTTCATCAGGCAGTTGGGTCATGAACCGCGGGACACCCTCCAACCCTTCAAACCATCCCCGCCATGTCACCCGTTCAACCAGCCACCCTCCTTTTCGCCAAGCACCGCTTTCTCCAGGAGCCGGTGATTCTCAATGTGAAGGGCGTGGGATACAAGATCCATGCCTCCTTGGCCATCGAGGAGCATCCTCCTGGACCAGTCGAACCTCGCAGAGACAAGCACACTGCAGATTTAACCAGTGGAAGTTCCTGCTCCAAAGGTCGTGTGGATTATGTGGATGTATTCGGAATGGACAAAATTGAATCCTACTTGACTAAATTTAAAGAAAGCTGAGGATATCAGATCCACCTTGAAGACCACCCGAATAGGGAGGAGTCCCATCGTTCGTGAACCAGTCCAGGACTTTGTCCATCAACACGGGCACAAAAGTTGATAGTTATGTGACATGTCAACAAAGGCTGTTGCACGGCCCTCAGTCTGTGACCCTCAGACATTGGACACATGTTGGTAACCACTTGTCAACAGAATCCATGAGTGAAATCCTCATGTTGCGCCAGGTGTTGATTCTGGGTTTTCAGTTTTGCCCCACCCCTGTTGATAGTCTTTGCGGTTTATTTACTTGTTGCGCCAGGCAATGATGTGTTCACAATGTGTTTCAGCATAGTTGTCCAACACCTGCGTATTTTTCCTATGGTTAAACCCCCTTCCGAGGAATATGAGTTGTTCTTTTTTTGGTTCCTTAAGCAAATCCAAGTTTTGATAACAGAGCTGATCCAGTCACGGGAGTTTCCTCTCATTGCATCCTGTTCTGCCCTTTGCTGATCTGAACATTTGATCACCCGTGATGTTCCGCGAGCATCACATCAACAAGACTGGTTGTTGGAGACTGAAGGCAAACACTGCCAAACATGTGATTATTGGTATTGGGCTGGGTGTCCTTTCTTCTGTCGATCTGAACCTACTGTACAGCTGCATATAAATCATTATAAATCAAACCATGTTTCTTTTGGTACTGTACAGCTGGCATGGGGGCTATTGGGCAGCTCCACTGCCAACTCCAGCTGCGCAGCATGGGGGGGCTTGACACAACTACCTTAAGCATTTGGGCTACCTGGAGCGCATGCCATGGGTTACGCCAGGAATAGGGTGAACATAATTCTTGTTTCTAATAGCTTCTTGTTACTACTAGTAAGGCCCTTGCTCCTAGTAGCGATGCATTTGTTCCTAGTAGCTTAGAAATAGAGTGAACGCCAGGAATGGGCGTTCGCATCGTTCGCATCGCGCCGCAAACGAACGAAGCGGCCGTTGGTTTCGTTCGCGGCGGTCGCTTCGACAGGAGCCAGCGGGTCGGCGAGTCATCAACGCCGGAGTGCTGGAACCACTGGACATGGGCATGTCGCTCGGTTTGTTGGTACCCCCCCGAGAGGGAAGGCACCGGAGTGAACTCCGAGATGTGTAACAAAAGCAAAAGGAGACGGAAGATCACCAAACAATGAGCAGAATGGCATGAACCCCTCAAATTTGGGCCTTTCAATAATTTACTCTTACCCAGATGCTCCATGTATGGAATATATGCCTACATTGGAGTGGTTTGGGGGGTCAATGTAGGCATATATTCCATACATGGAGTGTATGGGTTATAAATCACCAAACTGCTCGCACTCGTTTGGGGCACTGACGACCAATTGTTGTTCGTTCTGCGGCCGTTGGGACTGACGGCGGCACGTTTCGCAGCCAGGTTACAGGTGCACGAGCGGCGCGAGTTGGTGCTCTACCTCAGGAGCACGGGAGCGAAGCAGATGAGTTGGATCCAGCGAATTCTATGCTTCGAAGGTGATTTTTGGGTGTCTAACAGTTTGGTGCACAGCTGCACATGCCAGCCGTACTCAAATGATCTAAAATGTATGCTCCGAATGATTGGTGCACAGCGCCCTATGCACTAAGGTTGACCCTTTCATCTATCAATCAAACTGCAATATGGCCAGAAAACAGACTGCTTTCTACAAACAAGGACTTTCCGCTTCCCTATGCTTCCCTGAAGAGATCTGATATCACATCCATCCATTGGGCGGCTTTGTGTGTCAAGATCCAACGTTTGTAGTCGTTGTACAACTGGTACTTTGTATTTCGACCTATCAAAAATGGTCACTGCCAGTATCCGACCAGAGACCCGCTGTACCCTGTTGTTTTTTTTGTCAGACAATAAATATCAGAAAGTTAGGCAACTATAATTTCATGAAGTCCATCACATGTAAAACCGTGACTTATTTTCTGAATCCATGTCTATCTTTGTGTCGGTGTCACTTGGCTTGAGACTTCCTTAGGCAGGCCAGCTGCCCAATGTGGATGTTTTTAGTGTTTTGTTATGTTTTGTTGTTTGATTGAGAATTTGAAGATTTGTTGGTGTAGGATTTGGGCTTAGGTTTTTTAAAGGTCCTTTTTGAATTGCAGATTCAATCAGTTAAGCCTGCAAGAAGAGCAGAGAACATTCAATTTGAAAGCAAGTATTGAAGTCACAATAACAACACCCTCAAAAAATCAAGTCAAATACAAGACCATTGAAACACTATGTATAGAGAAATAAACTATTCTAAACTACATCGCGAGCGCCAACAAAGGCAACTCAAAACACGCGACGCCCCAAAATTTCCAATGGATGCACCCCCGTTCAGCGAACGTTCGCAGGAACGACAGCAAGCGGAACTTCAACTACCGGATGCAGATGTTGGTGGGTGCGAACCGGAAGCCAAAGGCGACGCCCCAGCCGGTGTGAGTTCACCGAGTTCTTGGAATTCTTGCCGTGGGTTTCATGGATTTGTGGGTGCCTTTCCAAGAACTCAGACTCTGAACGTGTGACTCACTGGTTTCCTGGTTTAATGGTCAACCATCAGTGTTTCGTCGCTCAATCAAACAGTCTTCCATCGCTCAATAAAATGGTTTCCATTTCCGCTCAAAACGACTGAATTCCATCATCGCTCAAAATCTGAACTGGACGAACGCAGGACGTGTTTCGCTGCGGATTTCATCGCAGCTGCAGGCCATTGGTTCGATGGAGAAGCCGCCCTACATCGCTCTTTCCAGCCCTCAAGGTGTGGCCATTCACCACGAGGAGACGAGAGACCGGGACTTCCGGTGTAAAGAGGAGTTAAAAACATGTTTGACCAAAGCCAAAAAAATCCGCAAGCTAAACTTCTTTTGTTTTTGGACGTTTTTCGCCGGTTTGGCTGAGTGTTTGCTTTGCCATGCTCCGATGTTGAAGATTTGGTCTCCTCAAACTGACTGTTTCACAAACCTCCGGTCCGCAGCCTTCTCGAGGAGACACCCATCGAGTTGAAGTATGCGCCACGGGATGCGCATATGTTGGACGGCAGCATCCTACAGGCGAAGAGGGGTTCTGCACCCGAGCCGTTTCGCGCGAAGCCTCCGTTCTGTCTTGGGGTGCGAACGGGATTCCAATCAACTTGTGAAATATGCAGATGTTCCGTAAGAGGTGTTCTGAGGCTGTTAATCCCTGTCGGAGACTCCCCTGACTTGTTAGGAATTTATTGAAAGGAGAGATGTGGCGCTACTGACTTATCGACTGTTGGCCCCGCCACGAAAACGAGAGGAGACGAAGTGAAACCCGGTCTGTGGGTCAGAACCCTACGTAGCGTTTGCCAGACTACTTATAGTACATATTAGTACATACATATCTTATTTCACAAGATTTCACAAGATCTTTCGCTCCTGAAGACATGGTAGGCTGCAAATCTTAGAGCTTTCCCATGTTTTCAAACCCGAAGAAGACCCCACTAAAGCTGCCGTCCAGAGCATCGAAGTGTACCACCAAATCGCCGTGAAGTCCATTTGTCCCCGCGTCTGGGTTCAAACCTGTTCCTAGGCCAACCCCTGAAGTTCTTTAAAACAAATATAAATATGTATATATATAGAGGAATGTTGTGTTGTGAATCTATAACGATATATATATATATAGGTCTCAGAGGTTGTGCCACCGGATCTTTTTCAGCAGCCCGATGGCTCGCGGGTAGCTGTTTCCATGAAAAACTTGCACGTGGTGAAGGAATCACTGGTGAATTGACCGTGCAGTAAACACATATTGGAGACAGGAACACATCTGGGTAAACCTTCCTGGTATCCCTCCTTCCTCTCTCTTTCTTTTTGTTGTGTGCATGTGGACAACATATTTACTTTGGATAGCCACGGGCATCGGGGGCGGAAACTGCCAATACATGCATGCCAATTATTTAATATTATATAAGTATGCAGTACATAAATATATACAATACACGTATTTCCTGGGTGGATTCGTGGTCATAAAGTGGTCATATAGTTTTTTGGGTGTGTTGTGGATCATGAAGCTGGTCAGCAGAAAGTTTTCCAGGTGCTCTACATGTTTGTTGCCTGCAACAGCGTTTACACTCAGTTAAAAGAGATAAAACTATTAGTTATTATAGTCCGCCTAAAAGCTCTTTTGGTTTGGAAGATCTTCTTCTTAGAGGTGGGAGGCTTCTGTGGATCCCGAGAGGGGAGTCCAGATTCTCCTGTCTGTGTCTACATCTCTTCCAGCGGTTCAATGAACATAGACGTCACCACCACACTGGTTGGCCGCCTACCCGCAGTTGGCCATCCCAGCTGGTCCTGTGGAGGACGGGCGAGGTCGGTGGGGCCACCGTCGTAAAGAAATCCACATGAGACCGCTTCCAGGGATGCGGAAGAGGCAACTTTCCCTAAAGGTCCAGTCAAGTAAAAAGTCAACACCTGGTGATTTTACCTTACCTACTTGAGTGGTCGTTTTTCTATGACCAAACTCCATGTATTTCATGAGATCCGTTCCTGACCAACGTCGTTTTTTGTGTTGTTTGCGTAGCTTGGTTTCGGCTGTTTGATGCTTCCTCATTGGCTGAAGCTGATCACGATGATAATCATACCACATTTGCATCCATGATGCCTCACGAACAAGTATGATTTCCATGTTCACAAACAAACACTTTGTCCTGATGGGGCCCGGCTACATGAGTGTTGAAAGAGCTCATGAGGGTAGTTTATCAGCTTCTCCCCCTCAACGAATCCCCCCAAAATGACAGACCTACCACGACATGGGATGACATGTTTGTCTCATAATCCTGTCCTCCATCCAAACAAAAACAACGTACTTTGTTGGCTGCATTCTTTTGCTTCGTCCCACACCCAGGTCTATTCCTTCACCCCCCCTTACAACTGCTGGAGAGCCGAGCTGCCCGGAACGCCCGTCCAGCCGAGCCGAGCCGCTGAGGAGACCTTCTCGATCGCCCTCACGGGCGGTGCCAAGCGCTCGAGAGTGGAGTCGGCGGCGCCCAGAATTGGGTCCTTCAGGTCTTCAGGTGAAGGGTACAGACCAAAAGGGATCCACAGGGTACCTTTGGAGAAGAGCGTGAAGTATCTGCAGTTTTTCAATGGAACTAAGACATATATAGAACCAAGAGAACATCGAAAATGCATCGCTGAAAGGGGACGACCTCTGCCCCAAAAGTCATCCCAAGGGTCGACCCTTGGAGGTCTATCATCCAAACCTCTCAAGGTTTAGAAAAAGGTCATTATCCCTTGGCCATTGGCCTATGAACATCCATGAACCCAGTTTAAGAGGACCAGAGCAAGATATATCAAGATGATCTTTGAATTGTCAGGGAACACCCAGGTCACCCAGGTGACGAATCGATGGTGTTCAGCCAGGATCAACGGTTGGTGTCGGACATCACCTCACCTTTTTCTCCAGACCGGACACAAAATGGGGCCACGACGTGTTTGAATCCATTGAACCAGAAAGACCAAGTTCATCCGATTGGCCCCTGCCAAAGATTGAAAGGACAAAAGGGAAGAAGCTTTATGGTCGGCCGCGTTTGCATAGCAAGAGACTGCAAGGAAGACTTCCCTTCGTTACTGTGGCTGGATTGGCACTTGCCCAGCGTTTCCACTCACCATGTCCTTGTTGTCCAAGGTTCTCCTTCCTCAGCCACGATTTCGGGCCTTGCTTCATTGCTCGCGGTGGTCAGCCTCTCAGGGATATTTGTGCTTGCTTGGCTTTGGAAGAGTGATTTGAGGCTGTGGCGATAAGAGAGAGAAAGAAAGAGAAAAAGAGAGAGAGAGAGAGCCAAAGTCCTTTTTGGAATCGATGCTTCTCTTCTTCGGCATGCCATCTCAGGCCACTGTTGCAGTAGAACGGTCAACCAAACCAATGTTTATGGGGATGGGTAGGTCAACCAAGGAACAGGCGCAAATTCAGGATGGAAAATATTCACATGATGATCCAAGCCAAAATTGGGGCACCATTCATCAGGCGCGGGCTCATCATCAGCTTGAACACACTCTCATCTTGCCATCGCCCGCCATTCACCCTCATGTTTTCACTGCCTGTCTTTGGGGTGCTGATTATGCCCAATTAGTTCTCAAATTCTTTATGTCCCTTCAATGGCCTGACCCAGATCGTGACCATGACGCGGTGACTAAATCAGGTATCACCTGGCATGAGCTTGCAATTGCCTTCATCCTCCAGACGGGACTTCAGTTTCCGAGCAAATAGAGCTCGAGCTAGACCGCATCATTTTCGAGCCCCGGAAGTCTTGGCGCTTCCAGCCACTCTTCGAGAGCAAGCCGATGCACTTCGTATCATCATCCAATATTTGCAAGGTTTTTGTACCACAAGGTTGTATCCGAAATTTCACAAAACAGCATCCTGTAGCCTGGTTCAGGTTGGCTGGGGTCGGACTTATACTGGTGGTTTCCCGTTGCGCTCCCAATTCGTCAATGCAGACGATACACAGAAAACATTGCAACAATACGCTAAAGACCTGGGTACAAAACCGCCATATCATCCATTAGGCCTTGTTCCGATGCACTTGTGCAATGTGATCCTTACGGTGGAGCCATGTGTCAACCTTCACTATTCCCAATGTTACCACTTTTCGAAAGAAACTTCGAGAACTTTGGAACAAGGGGGGTGATCTCGATACTTTAATTCCACCTGAACCCCCTAATTAGATGCGTAAATTCGTCTCGGTCGCTTGAGTCCAATCCCCACTTTGTGTTGCGCAGATATTCGGTCTCACGTAGATAGAGGGCTGGCTATCGCGGCCGTTCGCATGTGCCAATTTAGTTTTGTAGGCACAGGTACCCATCAATACGATGAAGGGCCATTGGAAAGCGATCTGGATTGATGCGCAAGTTTCGTCGGTAGGTCAACCAAGGTATCCTGGCTTTAACCCACAGCATCCCACCGCCATACATTTAAAATACACCAGTTCGCAAAATTTTGAGTGAGAGAAACAACATCATCCCCGCCGGATTTGTGTTGCATCATCCTACAGCGATGGTCGATGGAGACCTTGTGGCCTTTGGGTGCCCAAGATCTATCAGCATTTGACAAAGGGTCAACACCCCACGATCCACTAAATCTCAAATGCTCATTCGAAGTATAAGAACTTCTGGTAAAAAACGAGGTGGTTGCATGATATCATGTAAATAGTATAGGTTTTTAGCCTAGATGATACTTTCATCAGTTGCCTGCTTGTCCCCCTGGAATGAGAGTCCAAAGGCCACGCACAGATTCAGAGAAGCTTTTGGGAGGGTCAAAGCTGCCAAAACTACCGAAAGATGTCTGCTGGTGCCCAAGCGACTTACGGAATCCCCCAAAATAGAGTTGGTTCATGTTGGTTCAGGGTGGGCGACGGAGAGGAAGCATGATTTATCCAGTATCTTCAGTGTACCACACCTGGTTAATTAGCATGCATGGAATGAATTGGAATGACATGGGAAATATGTGCAATGAGTCTATAACCTTCAACCCCATGCGATAAACCGGTCATGTTGTTTTCTTCACACGGATAGCAAATAGTACCATGTTTGTGCCCGAGGTGCGACCATGGCTGGGGAGCCCTTCGCACCCTCGGAGGACATGAGGCTGGTGGCAGCGCGGGTGATTCTATAAGGCAAAGTGTTTGAAAAGAGTTATGTTCAAGGCAACCGTCAAAAAGGGGGAACCATACATTGGCATTGATCTATATTAAATGTCAACCACCAGCAAGCAATTGTCCCAGCTTGATTCCAACTAGCATTCATTCAGTTGAGGGTCCACCCTTATCTCAGGCCGATGCCCAGTTCATGCTTCTCAAGGGGCATTCGCTTAGTTCGACCTGTTTCCTGTCGACAGCACTGCGCAGGTACGAGCGAGTTGACTTGATCGCCACCAACCGGGACGACAGCGACTGCCTGATCTCTACGACGTTCCAGAGGAGTGATATCAGTTGATAGGGAATTTTTAGCGAATTTTTGATGGATTTCCAGGTTGGATGCGGCGAATTTCGGGAGGATTTTTAGAGGATTTTTCGCAGAGTGACCGCGGGTTGGTAGCTTTTTGGCCGGCTGGATTGGCAGGCATTGGTGGGGCAGGGGCGGCTTCTTGTGTCGGAGATTGTTGTATTCTCTCCAGGCTGACCAGTAGGATGACTGCGGCCCGTCTTACCTATGGCCTCGGTCCGGATCTCTTCAACAAATTCCTGAGCTGAGCGCTTCCCGGAATGAAGACAGCAAGCTGTTGGACAACTCTCCACACCTATTCCACGCATCGTTGTGGAGTGGCTGACTGGAATCATTCAACAGTTGTAAGGAGCTCGAGGAACATTTACACCATTTGCCCGGGCAACAGAGCCATTTGTAGAACCCGATGGGTTCACCCTTTCAAGATTCATGTTGCTTGACTGAAACAAGATGCATCAGCATTTTTCTACATTGTATTAATTATCAACCGCTGAGACGACCATGCTCATACATGCCGAGTTTGGGATGTGAAGTTTCCTCATGTGTCCTCTTTTTGAATCGAGACAAACACAAAGAAACACCTACAGGTGCTACAAAGGTGCCCTGTACGTATGTCTGTGACAGGCACCCTTTTCTTCTCCCCCCCAAAAAAATAAACCTCTCCCCGCTTTCAGCTCGTCAACGCCTTCTCCCGGCATCCCTCCAAACGGATCAGAACGGAACGGTTTTCGTCCGCCGCCGGAGAGTGCCTCGAAGCAGGGAGCCTTGGTTGGACGTGCAGCTCAATGCGGCGATGATCGAAGCAGGTGGCTCTCTGCCCGGGACACCCAGCGGTCGCCAGCGGTTCCGAGTGGTTCCCCAGTGGGAGGTGGGAGGTGGGAAGGATGGTGATGTGGAAGGGAGGACTCCCAAATGGGTGGACGAGTGGATGGCCTGTGTGAGAAGCGGTTGAAGGATCATCTTTAGAAACAACATGAAACAAAAGACATCAAGAGACGATATGGACAAGCACATTGAACCACACATTTGACCTACATGTTTGGCTGAGATTCGCGTGCCAGCTGGTGGTCTTGGCAGGTTGATTCACTGTTCTCAAGAATGGCACCTGGCTAAAGAGTTGAATTCCTAATTCACCGACGATCGGGACACTTGGCTAAAGAGTTTGGGTTCTTCCATCATCCAAAAGTTGCCAAAAGGCAAAAAACACACATAGGTACGGAGTTTGAACAGAGCCGCTCGAGTTTCCGAAGGGTTCGGATGAGTCAGGAGAGCGGCAGTGTGTCCAGCCACGGCTGAGGCACATTCCCATCGTCTTCTCACCCAGAGAGGTCGGCGCGGGCCGGACCGGATGCGGTCGGTCATGCGGTTCGGAGGCGGTCTCGAGCCCGACGGCGGCCGTAGGGCGGAAGGCCGATGTATCTATGGAACAGATGCCCAAGATTGTCCAAGTGGATCCGAGTTGCTATCTACATGTAGCTGGTGATTTGTTTTTTTCGGTGGTTGGCGTGAAATCCTCACATGAGGTGATGGGATTTGTGTGGGTGGACCTCGACCACAGGTTTTGGCAGAGGGACTATCCAAGCGCATTTTGATGGCATTTTTTGTTGATGGCATTTTTGTATAGAATTATATATATATAGAGGGGGTCTCCCCCAAGATGAAGAATTTCTCTGAATTGATAAGGCTTTGGGGGCCTTTTGAAGGGAGATCATCCCAACTCAACATGTGCGACCAGGCTTGACCTCTATCGGAATCGTCCCGCTAGCCCAGACTCCCAGACTTCCCACATGCAGGTCTGTGAGTACATGCAGAGAATTGAGTTCATCGTCAACGACTACACCCGCATGTGGGGAGTCTTAACGAGAGCGATCGAAGATCGAGTTGCGAGTTGTATGTTTGGCAGCCAGGAAGATCAACGCCAGCACCTGGCATTTACCTTTATATCCTTTTATAGTTTTTTGTTTTAACGTTTTTTTGCTATCCCTTTTCCAACAGTTCAACGGCCTTGAGGCTTAACCTTCCGGGACAAATGGAACATTGTTCTGACGACTATAATCTATTTTAAGTTATATTTACACTGTCATTGTCGCAGATAGTAGCCCCCACCGGATGAGATATACTCCCTCTCTGGAATGCCGGTCTTGAGCGATCATCCATGCCGTGAATCTATATTAATCTATATAATGATTGATTTTCTTATGGAACACCCTCATCCAGTCTCTTGTAGGCTGCAGCCGGTCTTTGTTTAGTGGGTTTGGTCCTTGGGTCAGTCGCTTCACGCGCCAGCGTTGACCAGTGTGACAACCGATGTAACCTGCGTCATAAAGGGGTCCAGAAAGAACATGAAAGAACGGCCCTTCAAGCAAGGGAAAGATTCCCAGCTGATTTGAACATCTGGAACAAGAGTGGATTTCACCAGGGCCTGCAAGAAAGCTTTTCCAAAAAAGGGAACTCTGTTCCGTCTGTTCCCCTTTGATTTGGTTGAGAGACTTCACACCATGGGCTAGTTCTACAAGAATTGATGCATGACAATACATTGAAAACATGTGAAAACACGAAAACATGCAGAATGTGTAGTGACTACGTAGTGTGTGTTCTGCCCTTTTCTTGCTCCACCGGTCCCCGGTCCCCCTATTCGTGCTCTCTCCCACGAGCCGAATGGGGCACCAGGCATCTGGACGTACGTGGGCGCGGCTGCCCCTTGAAGCTGGAGCTGACCGATCCCTGGCTGCGAACAGATGAAGCTTCTCATGGTATTAACCAACCCCCCCCTATTAGTCTACCCAGCGTTCAGGCCCCAATAATAAACTAATTTGAACTATGAATTTCCACAGTCACCACCCTCTAATAAAAATTTTGCTTGGCTGACACCCCCCCCTATTAGTCTACCCCCTGTCCCCCCAGGAAAAATATAGTTACTTAAATATGTGTTTAATTAGCTTTGTTCTTTTTGCCTTTTCAATATCTTTTGGTCCATGGTGAAACTGATCTTCTGATCCACTCTTTTCCCATGCCATCTCTTGAGAGATAGCATTCTGATCCACCCTTCTCACATGCCATTTGGCATTCTTCCAGCTGATGCTCTCATCCATCCTTCTTATCATCCTTCTCATCCTGCTCCTGCTTCTTCTTCTCATCCTTCCCAGCAGCAATCTGTGCAGCCATTGTATACTCATATGGGATCTTCCTGCCCATCCTCTTCCCCTCCTTCCTCATCCAATAGGCAGTGCATTTCTGATTGATTACCAATGCTCTCCCAAAGCAACAGTTTTCCTAGAACTTCCAAAAACTCTCTAGGAAAATTCTTTTATTTTCCCTTATTAAAACTCTATCAAAATCTTCAATTTGAGAAGCTCAGAAAGGCTACCCCCCATACACACCCTACCCCCTCTAATAGTGGGGTACCCCCCCTATTAGTCAACCCCATCCTTCCAAATACTAATTCTTCCAAATTCCAATTCTTCCAAATACTATAATTCCCTTTCATCCCAACCCTTCCAAATACTAATTCCCTTTCATTTCAATTCTTCCAAATACTAATTCCCTTTCATTTCAATTCTTCCAAATACTAATTCCCTTTCATTCCAATTCTTCCAAACACTAATTCCCTTTCATCATCAGGTCATCCCCACTATTAGGCGGATGTGATCTCCAAAACCTCCAATCTCAGACCTTGTTGACCTTGTTGACCTTCTGGGGGGGGGGTGCCCGTTGATTAATACGACGTTGACATTACCTGGGGAATTGATGTCGACGAGCTGGCGACGAGTTTGCGATGTCGAACCATTGCTGCGACGAGTATGGTATTTATATATATATATAGAGAGAGAGGTCCTCTATTATAAGAACAATGTTTATATATAATTTGGAGAACCCCGAGCCTTCACATGTTTCAATACATGCTGGATTCAGGGATTTGTTTGCCGGGCAACTCTTAGTTTGAACCTGCGCAAAACTAAGGAAACTCAGGATATTATTCGCATATACCCCCTTCCAAAACGTCGTCACCTGTGTTTGTGTTTGTGTCAAGATTTTTCAGTGGGTTCCCGCAGACGTGAGATCGACTCTGGCCTTCAAAGTGTTTGTGTTTGCTACAAAATGGTCGCTGGGTGAATCACATCAGGTTTTGGACACGTGGCACAGGTTGGCAGACCATGGCATCCAGAGATGAAGACACTTCCTAGGTCGGATCAACACTCTGCCGGGGTGCCTTTTTAGGTCGGGCAAACTCTGGTGCTTAAGTCAGACCACCGACACCTTAAGTCTTTTCCATCGGAAGAGATGGCGACACTCCGGGTCATCCTCATGGGCCAATGGATGGCCTCGAAAGGATGACCATCTTTCTACAAAGGTGGTGTTCACTCCACGAGCCCCATGATGATTCCAGGGAGTGTATATCATATTGGGTGCATTAGCCCTTTGGACTGCCATAGTTCAATAGGGATACCATGGGCTACCAGGTGTTCTTTCCTTTTGAACAACAGCAAAGGTGGGGTGAGTTTGAAGGCAGGCCCTGCTGCCGAGATACCAAAGAAGGTGAAATGTGTCAGGAACCTGCTCAAAACTACTTTGCATGTGCTTTGACGAGCGATCAGAACGTTCGCCGTATGAATGTTGACTGAGGAGAGTGACATGCAGAACATCGACTTTGGAGTCACCCGAGGCGGGCGATGTGCCGTTTTTTGTTTTGGAACACATAAATATAGAGGCCTTTAGGCCTATAGGTTGCACTCTGCCCCGGAACACCAACAGTGTGACAGTGAGCACAAAGATGGGCACCACGAAGTGCACGAGAAAATTCGACCCTGTGGGTATAGGCATTGTTTCGGGGGGACTTACACTTGGAAACGCCCTTTGATATACCTTCGGTCTGTGATCTCTACTTGGGAAATGCCATCAAACACTTGAGGCTCACTTGAAAGCTACTCGTAGAACCTGGAACAAACTGATGATGATGAGGAGGATCATGCTGACGATGATGATGATGATGATGATGATGATGATGATGATCATGATCATGATGATGATGCCTTTATGAGAAAATTGGCAAGAGCAAGGAATTTGAAGGAATCCACGTCCAAAGCATAATAGGTCCCCGGTAGCAGGCTAGTGGTGCCCCAGTTCTATCGTTTGTGCGAGAGGCGGTATGCCATGTGATTCCCTATAGGATACATTATTTTGTCACAGCTGATACATGCTAGCACTAGTGATGACTTCCTGTGGAATTTCCAGAGACCTTCTAAACCCTAAAGCCCTCAACAGCCACCGTCCAATTCTCCCTTCACCGTGCCTCCACCGTGCCTCACGGTGCCTCCTGCCCTTCCCCAGCTACCTCGCGTCCGAGGCAACGAGCCCGTGAGCCGTCACCTGCGCCTGGTGAACCGTTCCCCGCGTCCCGTGACCTTCCGTTTGAGCGAGGAGGGCATGGCAGAGCACGCCGTCAGCTGGATGCTCGGCCAGAACAGACCGGGAGGTTCGTCGAGCGGGGCTGAAGAAGGGGATCCATGAGGTGATAGGGCGAAGAGGGGCCCATGGCCATGGCGGGTTGGCCATATGCCAAGGCTGAAAGTGGAGAGGGAAAACAAAAAAGCCCCTGCCACTCGATATCATATGGGATCGGAGGAAGAGAACTTGGTCTGAGAGTGAGACGTAGTGAGGCCATCATTGATTGAAGGAATCCGCCAAAGAAGAACTCCAAACTGCCCCTCTCCAACCAAGATTCGCACCGGGTGCCCAGGTTGCCCAGGGTGCCCAGTTTGAAAGCCGACCAAAGGGTCGTGTAGTTGGTGGTTGATTCGCAAATCAATTCCCCCAGGCCTGGTGATCGTTGATATTCGTTGATACTCCTGCAAATCAACATGGAACCTGAGAATCACCCAGGGAAGACCATTGTCCTCTACAACCCCAGTGGGTTTGGGGGTCTCTTGTTAATCTGCAGAAGAGTAGCATTTCGACCCCTAGACCTGGTGCCCCTACCTGGATGGTGGTCGTCTCATGTCGTCTCCAAGTTAGTTGAACTATATCATCCACTGTCAACATGATGTCCTCGTGTCAATCATTGGAATCATTGAGGGCTTCATGGACCGATTCATTCCACAAAATCCGACCATCGACGACCATCGATCAGTGCTCGTGAATCCCTCGGCAACGTAGGGAAAAGGAAAAACGTGATAAACACGTGATAAGACATTAAACAATGGTCATACTGTGTACATATATATATATATATACCAGCACCCTCCAACAGTGACAGGTCTCCTCTGGAGGCTTTTGCTGACTTAAAAGTCGCAGGTGGTGACCTGTTGGAGGGTGCTGGTATACATACTATACATATATATATATATGGTATTCGATCCTCTCTGCATTGTCCGTTCATTCTCCGCCTCCACGTCTCTTGGTTCGGGTCGGCCGCCTCTCTCGCACCGATGTCATCCCTCCGCCGGACCGAGGAGCCCAGCGCATCCCTGCACCCTGCGGCCTCGGCAGACCGTGGACTTCGAGCTGCGCTTCAATCCCACGTGCCACCGGAGACAGCGACGAGACGAACCATTGGGTGGAACCACCGTATACCGGTGAAGGCAGACCGTTGGACGATCCCCCGATGCCGCCACGGTTTTAGATGGGACACAATGGGACACATCTGTTGGGCATGGGGTCATTTTGTGGGGGGATGAGCACGGAACTTGTGAAACGTCAAGTGGTTCTTAGTCTTCAGCAATGCTTGGTTTGGATTTCCTGTGCGTCATCAACAAACCGAGGGATTAATAAGAACTACGGTAGACGAGATCCAAGATCAAGCACTCTCTTTGTGGATGTTTGAGTCTAAGACGTGCCCATCTTTCAGCTGTGAACAACTCGGCTAGTCTGGCTGACAAGTCGATGACGTCAAAGGCGGAACAGCACCAGGCTTCGGCCCTGCCGGGGCCTCACAGGCACTTGTAGGCACTTGTGGGTGTGCAGCTCCCCAGAAATGTTTGCTGAGCCTTTGTAAAAGAGGACAGCATGCAAAAGAGGACAGCATGCATTTCGGTTGATAAGTGTGTGCTGCTTCTGGCAAATGCCCTAGGGCTGGGACTGGGGCTGTGAAGATAGCAAACAAGTCGGACTAGTCTGACTTTGATGATGTGAAATGCAAAC